CCTCTCGTTAACAGCTACATTTCTGACCACATGGACAGACTTGTAGGTAACACCTCAGAGGAGGAGTTATAAATGGCTTTTAGAATTGCATTCTAGTATCAGATGTGTTTATAAAGAATCAACAGATGTGATAATAGTGAAATTCTTACCCTTCTTGCAAAGGTAGTATTTTAAGTGGCTTATAACAGCAATAATAATGCTAAGAGGTTGTTAAGAGACGGTCACAGATGAACTGAGAACTGGAGTGATGTTACATGGTATCTACATGCTCTTGGAGTGGAAAGAACAAAACGAAGAGATGTTCTGTCTTTTCTCAATGTGTGGCTCCCAAATGGGGTTAAAATTATGATGACGTGGAATACTTGATTTTAATATCTGTGGTTACTGTAAATAATCGAGTAAAAAACACTTTCACAGTCTGTGATGTTTGTCCTAGTCCTGGCACAGTGGACTTGCTCTTGAAGGTTGTATGCCCCTCGGAGGCGCTGTAAGCAGCCCGTCTGCAGGACGTGGTGGAATGTCTTCGCTCGGCCGGCGCTGTCCTCGGAGGTGAACCGTGTCTTCCCGCGTCTTCTCTTTCCCCAACCAGCTCCAGACTCCTTCAACCAGAAAAAGTTCTTCCAGCTGTGCGGCCTGACCAAGAAGTCGCCCCAGGAGGTGAAGGATGTGTTCCGCATCCTGGACAACGACGCCAGCGGCTTCATCGAGGAGGAGGAGCTGAAGTCAGTCGATCTGCCCCTCTCTGTGTGTCTTCTGTCCGCACAAGAACAGGCCCCAGTGGCATCTCGCGTGGTGTCTGAGTACAGGGGGGATTTTAAGTGGGCGCTTTCTGCTTGGGTTCTCCACACTCTCACAAGAGCTTCTTTATAGCAGACGAGTTGAGGGGTCACTTTTTTCTCTTTTCTGACCAAAACTCATGTCCTCCCTCGTGGAGAGCTGTGCCGAACACCGATGCTTGGAATTCCGGATGTTTGTGTCCGATGTCGTTACGTGTGGCAGGCAGTTTTTTTCACGAACTTCCTGTTTAAGAGTCCAGGTCAGACACGTCAGCAGTGTGACTTGTTCACAGCACAGATCAGTAGGGGTGGGCAGGCGCTTTTCCTTGCAAATGACCGCGCACGCATTTGCATGGGGGGGAGCTGTCGGATGCCGGGGATAATCCTCCGGAGTGGAGTGGGGTTTTTCCTGCGGGAAAGTCATGCCGCGCCCTGTTTCCCCCTGTCGGCTCCACGCAGGTTCTTCCTCCAGCGGTTCTCGCCCTCGGCCCGGGTGCTGACGGCCGCCGAGACCAAGAACTTCCTCTCCGCCGCGGACGACGACAACGACGGGAAGATCGGATGTGAAGGTGAGCCCCCGCCCCTCCCATCCCCAGGGAGAGGCTGGAGGAGCCGGAATGCACTCCTCCGGCCTCCACCTCGTCCTCCCAGACTGCGAACGGGAACATCCTCTATCAAAATCTCTTCCGTTTTCTCTCTGTCGTCTGCTCTGGTCTTTCTTCCGATACAGGAGGAATCTGAATTCGGCAGGGAGGGAGGGGTGCGCTCTGGGTGGGGTCTGGTCGTGTCCTCTCTGCAGCGGAAGGGATCGCTCGGGGACACGCTGCTCCTGGCCTCCTCCCGTGTCGTGGGTTATAATCGCTGTGGCTGACGATGCTGCTCTGTAACATCCCTGTGTTGTTCGTCCTCAGAATTCCAGGCTATGGTGCTTTCCTGAAGGCCCGGGGCATGATGGGCAGAGGGACAGCACAGGGAAGCGCCCCTCTCCAGCCCAGAGGGATTAAACCAGCTTCCTCCCTCCCTCCCTCCCCGGCTCTGGATTGGGAAGACCTTCCCGGACCAGATCGGAGCTATGCCTTTTTGGAATACATTGCCGACAAGCATGGCCGCCCAACCTCTGCTTGAGACAATGTACAAGTGAATTACTCTATAATAATAAAAAAATAAATTGTAATATCCGTGTAAGTGGTTTCTATTTCTTACTAGACCCTCATCTCATATCAGTGGGGATTTAGCTCCAGAAAGAAAGGGAGCTGAGTGATCTCTAGTTTCGATAAGCGTTTTTCCCAGTTCAATCTCTTCCTGCGACCTTGTCCTTGTATTTTCTTATACTGTATACGGGTGCTGACACATTTTAAAATCTCTTTCTCTGCAAAACAATGTAAAATAAAACAATTGTGTGAAGCTCTTGCTGCGCGCTGTAGCAGAGCTAGCTCACAGAATGGCTCAGCTGAAGCCTGGGTTTAAAGGGAGAGGGTTTCCCAAGGCTGGAACTGAGCGTGGGACATCTTGGCACCTCAGCAACAGCAGTGTCCCAGGAACACTAATAAAAAGCAACACTGAACTTTAAGCAAAGTAAGCAAAAGACTGTGAAAAGTAAAAAATAAATATTTATGCAGAAATATTTCATACAAATTCTGTACTGGAACAGAAATCCATACCATAAAATATACAACGTAAAAGTACTGCTTGTCTAAGAATACCGATCACTGTAGATCTAAGCAGACTGTTCTCTCAGCTGCATTTATGCTACAGGCATACTCAGAAGACAACACGTTAATCCTTAAATTCATTATAATTATAACGACGTCATGCATTTACAGTATATAAGGCTCTAAACCCAATGGATCGATAATCGCTGCACTTGTGACTTATTGATTGGAGGCACTCTCATGTCGGGGGGCAGTACCTGGAGGGCTGGGCTGGTGTGTTTTGCAGTGTACTTAAGGTGAGTTGAAGATATGACTTTGGGACGGGAGCTGTCATGTGACTTTCTGAAGCTGACTCATTTCAAATATACCGCATTTGCAAAAATTCAGGTGACAATACAGACAACATTCCCTACAGCAGGGCAGTAAATTCCCACTTCAATGCGTTTTTTATGTTTCTCTCTTGAGAACCCAATATCTGTCTGAAATCTGATGATAGTGTCATGTTGCAGTAAAAATCAACAAACTGCACTTAACTCAATTTACACCAAATCAGTGTATCAGAGAAAAATCAATATTATCTCTCATTCACCTCTGTTATTTCTTTATAAATTTGCAGCCTTTCATTTTTACACAAACCTTTAGAAACCAGTGCAAAAGCTCTGAAAATGACTTTATTCAATTAAATTTATTTTGGAAAACTTGCTTCTGTTTGCAGTGGTCAACGTGTGCATATCAAAAGGTTTATGCAGGGAGCCTTCAGTGAGGTGCCAATGACTGCAACACACAGGCTCAGTGACTGTGGTTCCCCAAGTTTTAATGAAACAAAATGCATGAAAATACAATGCACCTGTATTATTTGCCTTTCATATAGAAGCATGCAAAAGTTCCCAACAGTAATTTGACTAAAAGGGGATTGGAGTTCAGCAGTCAAGGTGACGCTTTAGAGAGACTGATCCACAGGACCATGCTGAGGTGTAAAAGTAACCCCAGCACTGATCTCATCCTGCCTGTTAGAAAGGAGCTGATTCAGACTCGACTTCACGATTACTGCAATTTGGAAAGAAACAAAATCATTTTTAAATACTAATCTGAACACTGCAACTTGGAAGATTAAAACCCAAACGTATGCAGTAGTGGCTTTTATTCTGTCTTCTTTCACCGATTTTCCAACCACTTCATCCAGTACAGGGTGGATCAGAGACAGAGCCTATCCCAGCAAGCAACAGGCACAAGGCCGGGTACGCCCTGGACAGGACACCACTGTGCATCTCAGAGGATGTTTTTCTCTCTCCTTGATTAAACACCAACAGGAGAAATGACAAACATTCAGATTCGCTCAGATACCAAACTACCAAAGAAGCAAGTCGGGCCGGATGAGCCCCCACTCGTTTGCAGACCCCTCCTACGTTCTTACTGCTAGAAACCTCAGCTGGCCTTGACGCCCTTGGCTCGGGTGCGTCCCTCTGATCATTTTCAATAAGAGCTCGGGCCCAGTGAAGGTCGTGGT